GCCTGGTCCGGCGGCGGCGCCACCACCCGGTGGATGCTCGACTTGAGGAACCCATTGGTCAGGAATTGCAGCACGTCGGCGATATTGACCGTGATGCTCTCCGGGTATGGCTTGACGTATTTCCACTCCCCTTCGGGTGTGCGCACCTGTAGGGCCGCCACGGGTTGTCTGTTCCACGGACACGAGAGTTTGTCAGTTGAGTGGTCCATCAGAAGAGAGAGTGTATGTGAGAGAGAGAAAGAAGTGGCTAGGGGATTTCTTAACCCCCCTATTCTTCTATCAAGAAGAGAGAGTTGATTTCTTCTTTTGTGCTCGTTGCGACGTACCTGAAAAGCAGGGTCAAGCTTCCGAAGTCGGTATGTCCCTTGACCCAGACATTATCCAGCTCCTTGTTGACCTCGGGCGACCGATGGCTGTTTGAAGAAAAAAAGTCAATATCGGCTCTCAAATTTGATATACAGGGGCAGATATTCTCAACGTACTGGTACTTCATGTATCGGAAGTGGCAGTCACTCTTCTCGTCATAGCGGTGGATGTTCAAAAAATAGTCCTCGGGCAACTCCAGCACCAGGGCGAACAGCACGAGCAGCTTGCGCACAATCTGGAAGTGGATGTGTTTGGCAAAGTATTGGATCTCATCCCAGTGCTCCTGGATGATGGCAGGGTGCTCGCGCTCGTACTGGGCTATGAACTTGGGGATGTTATAGATCTCGGTGTTGTCTTTGATGCCGTTCTTGATCTCGCGGATCCCCAGGGGTTTGTACCCATTGTAACCCCCGTTCTCGAGGTCGGCGCGGTACTTGATCTTTTCGTCGGCGGGGAGGTTGAAGACCTGCTTGCACAGGCTGAATTGGCGGTCCACCTCTTCCTGCGTGAGGCCAAAGTTGATGATGTAGAAGAAACCTATACAAGAACCATTTGGAGATCGGGTCGACCGGTGAGCCTTTCTTTTCCTTGCACGTAATTGATCGATTTGGCGCTGGCGACGGGGGGATCATGCAACTAACCTATTCTGTTGACGGCATCAAAGAGCTGCGCAGCCAACGCTTCTTTACCCCCCGGTTGATCAAACTTGCTGAGGTCGAGGGTGACCAGGTCCGCCCAGTCCACTACAAATGTCGCAATATGTCAGTGACACCATTCGACACAAGACACAAGCCAAGCCGAGGGACAATTGCTTGAGTTGGTGTTTCTTACATTCGTGTTTCGTCTCCGGAACCTGGTTCCATTTGGGGAGGGACAAGAATGCCGGGCGGGTGATTGTCTCGGTTGCCATTTTGTACGAGGGAGCCTGGTCTCTTGTCTTGTTGCCTACTCAATATGTCAAAGGTACTTGTATGTACTTGGGTACGGAAAAGTGACAAGGGGGTCTCTCGATCAAGCATTCCCAAGTCACAAGCCTCCCAAGATAAACGAAACAGCCTGGATGATGCCATCCAGACCAAATATTGCTCAATGCGGGGTCGGGGGATACTTCTGTCTGATGCTGACCTATCGCGATCGATGGTTGGGGACGGCCTCTCCAATTGCTTACATATAACATATAAAGATGCGTGAACACTCCATCGAGCATCAGCCAATAGCCTCGGGTTCGGCGAGGCAGAGATATCGCTGTCTACTCTCTATGGCCAGCAGTCAAAGGAACCGAACGGGTGCCACGAGAAAACAGAAGGACCTGCCGCCTGAAAAAAAAAACACATAGGCGGCACCGACGGCATGAACAGAGTTGTGTAGCCGCATAATGGACGAGTAACGGGATCGCGGGTGTTCCAAGGCACAGGAATTGTTATCGCATCTCTCCTGTAGTAGTCAGGAATCTCGGTAAGATGGACACGGGCTTTCATTTTGACTTTGAGAGCCGAACAAGATGTCGAGACGTTCCGAGATTGTGCACAAATATTCGCTTCACATCTTCTTTGCGTAGTCCTTTCTCGAAACCAGACATCCCGTTCCTCAATAAACCAGGAGTTCCGTGGGTCCGACGTTCGCTGGATTGCGACAGGTGTCATGGTGGCGTGGCTGAGCACTGTAGGCCTTCTAGCTGTCGCCCTTCGAAGATGTTTAGATCACCATGAGGTATGGAAGGGGAGTGCTCTCGAGCCAGGGGAGAAAGATTTGTTCAGAATGGGAGGAATATGGTTGAGCGCGACACTCGAAGCTTTTGCTTAGATGGCCAAGCGAGCAAACTCTTGCAGATGGGCTTCGCAATCGCTCTCAAGTAACTCACCACGGCGTATGTCGATTCACACCGTTCTCCCACGGCACGGATATCACAAGTCTGACCAGAGACCGCAGCTTCGGAAATCTCTCTACCGCCATGGGCCAGATCCACAAGTAGTCGAAAGCTTGTCAACAATAGCACCGCTCTTTGGCAAAGAAGCAACAAAGCCGCCAAGGCGGCGTTGATGTCCCCGGCTTTTATTTTCTTGACACACGTTCTCTTTTCTCGGCTTCCGAGTCTACCCACAGGAAAGACAAATCTCTGTCTGGTCCCTCACTCCTCTGGTTCAGTTCGGAGATCGGCAAAAGGATGGGAGGTGTGCGTAGAGCTCAGGGGGAGGACATGACTGTGTGCAACTGTGTACTACTTTGCTGTCTTCGACATCTTGTTGCCTCGAGCACGGGGATATCAAACGCCGTTACAGCGAATCGGCGATACGCCGCATTTGTAGCCTCATTCCATGTTATTGTTCCTGCATCTGTGATTAGTGACCATCCTCGTCACTGCACCTGAGGATAGGCAGCGATGATCATCCGCTCAGTGATAGTTGGTGAAGATGGTCGGTATACCAAATGGCAAGGATTTGCGGGCAGCTGCCAGGCGGCGTCCAGAAATTTCAGAAGTACTTCTTGTTCTGGCGCTGACGCTCCGAGACATCAATCTCATCGACTTCTGTAGAAGTAGAGATGTGCATGCAAGGCGTCCTGCTCCAGGGGAATAGATCCTGAAGGGGAATCGACTAACGCTCCCCGCAGGAGATTAGTCTTCCTACGTCCAAAGGAAATAACGTCGAGAATCAGATGGTCTCCGGCCATCGGCCAAAGTCCCGTGAGAAGTAAAAGGCGACATAGAATGAAGTCGAAAGTCCGCTGCCACGGGAAGTGAGCGTGGATTCGGTGTAGAGTTCGGTTACACCTTGTGAACGTTTGGAGCACTCCGATGTGACTCGTCATTCGTCCATGACTGTACGATCCAGCCGGTATACAGGAACAGGGACCGCGGGGAGGGTCTCGACGCACAACTCAGCAATAGTGTCGATCATCCACATGCGAGTAAGAGTAAGCCCGGTGGCAATAGACGATTCTGTACACGGTAGAGGTGATTTTGCGATCGAGTACCGAGCCCCTCCACCTCTTGGTTGTGTGACCGGAACCAGGTCAAGTCCACCACGGAGAGCAAATAGATGCGTTGTAGGTAGACCTCTGACCTCTTGTTTTCCCCCGGGCTGTGGACGGCCTTGACGTGACTTGGCTCTCTAGCGGATGCACAGTTAAGCTTTTTTGAGCGGTTTTCTAGTTTCTTTGCGGGGATAACACACCGTCAGCTGGAAGAGGTCAGTGTTGCCGCAAGAGAATGGATAGTCTTACTGCTTTGCTAGGAAAAAATGACGAAGCAAAATGGTGATGAGCTCAATTTCTGGCGGAATCCTTAGGCATGGGTAATTGTACCCTGGAATAGAGCGTGGGCCAGGTCGCAACTCCTCGTACTACTCGCATGTACTCGGGAACCCGTAACTCTGTTCGTATAGCCACAGTACGAGGCTGGACTCGGGTCATGACCCGTGGATTCGGGTAGTGACAACGAGGCCGGCGCAAGCCGGGGGGCAGTGGTTTTCGCTCGTTACAAAGAATCGTGGTTAAAAATAGGGCACGTGGAGCCTTTCTGGTGCTGTGGCCCAATTACAAAGCGTAAGACAGTCAAGCTTCTGTGCCGAGACGGCTTGAGTAGGTCAAGCCTTTTTTAGCGCAGTCGTTCACGTACTATGTTTTGATTGGTTGAAATTCACATTACCTGTATACGGCGCAGTCCCCAGTCCCCGCAGCGCAGCCGCAGCATCTTTGGCTGGCAAAATTCCCTATTTCGAGCGCATCCTTTGTCATCCTCACCACCCCTCAACATCCAATGACCCTCAGATCTAGGTTCATCAGCACTAATCCTGTCTCGTCTATCGCAATCACCGCCATAGCCCGATCTGTGCAAGCGCTGACCAGCTGGGCAGTCCAGAAAATCTCTCGAGTCGGTTACACCACTCTGTGGCGCATCCTCTGTATTCGTACCTCGTGCTCCTGTGTCCCTGGATCTAGCTGCAAATGCCCAAGCTGACAGACATCACAGGTCCTCGGTAGGTCCTTGTGGTCCTTGCTACTTCCACACTCTCCCGCGGCCGCCACAGGATGGAGGATGTTCTGGGGCTGCTGTATGACGTGGGAATTGAAATTTGCCTGGTGACAGATGAATCCTCCTTTCTTTTGGCCCTCCCCTTTGTGGTATGGTCTGGCTGGATACACCTCGCGAGTTCACAGAACGATCCCAAATGGAGTCAATGTGGGCGGTGAGCACACCAGAGACTGGGGAAACCAGAGCAGCCGAGCGAACAACGCACCAAATCACTGCATCGCCGCATGGCCGCCGGAGTCAGCAACAGCGCAATCTCCTTCTGGCCCTGGTCTTAGCTCCCAATCCAAGCTTTGCCTCAACGTTGCTTAACTTGGCCCCCTCCAAAATGGCGAATACTATTAGCTCGCCACACGATATGCTCCTCCTGGGTCGAGCTCTACGCACGCCCGTCTATATATTCAGCTGTGGGCTCTCGCTTCAAGTTAGGTCTCACTCATACAACAATCACTTCATTCTTTACTTGACTACATTAACAGCTCAGTTTTCGCTTTCTCAACACATTCTCTCGCTCATTCAAACAGCAAACCGACTTTGACAATAATCTTTCTTTTTCCTATCGTTGAACGCACGCTCACTAGCACATCATCACACGATATTCATAATGTATTCCAAACTCGCACCAGTCCTCGGCTCCTTGGCCATTGCCTCGCTCGTTGCAGCAGTCCCCGTCGACGTTGAGAAGCGCGATATCTGGTTTGGCGGCCGTAAGCCCCACCTCGAGAACTACCAGGGTGGCCAGCCTTCAGCCTCAGCCTCTGCCTCGTACAGCGCTGCCAACGGCTACTACACCCCATCAGCAACCAGCGGCAGTGGCTCATGGTCCACCGGTGCCCCGCCGTCGTCGTCCTCGGGCTCCAGCGATGGCAGCAGCAACCCGTTCAGCTTCCCGCTGTCCAACGGCTTCCCCAACATCCAGAACCCCTCGTCCCAGCTCACGGCCATTGAGTCTCAAGCCCACGGTCTCTTGCCCAACGGGCCTCCACCGCCATCGCCCCCTGCCGATGACGATCTCAAATCATTGAGACTGATTGCCTTCAATGAGCTGTTTGAGGTTGCCTTCTTCACTGAACTCCTCTACAACGTGACCCACAATGTCGCCGGGTACCAGTTCCAGGACCAGAACCAGCGACAGACCATCATTGACGCCATCACCGCCGTCCAAGCCCAAGAGGAGCTCCACGCCCTGAACGCCAACGGCGCCCTCGCCCACTTCAACGCCGGCCCCATCCAACCCTGCAAGTACGAGGTGCCCGTGTCTGACTTCAAGAGCGCCATCAACCTGGCCAAGACCTTCACTGATGTCGTCCTCGGAACCCTCGGTGACGTCCAGACCCATTTCGGCCAGAACGGTGACAACGGCCTCATCCGCGGTGTCGCTGCAGTCATTGGCCAAGAGGGTGAGCAGAACGGTTTCTACCGCAACTTGCTTGGTCTCATCCCCAGCGGTGCTCCCTTCTTGACTGCCTCCACCCGCGAGTTCGCCTTCTCTGCCTTGAACCAAGACTTTGTTGTTGCCGGCTCCTGTCCCAACATCAACACCATTGACCTTCCCATCTTCGGTGCCCTGAACGTCTTGACCCAGAACATCCAACCCCAGGACCAGCAACTCCAATTCTCCTTCACCGCCACCGGTGCCTACTCCCAGTATGCCAGCAACTACCACAGCCTGAGCTTGGTGTACATCAACCAGCAGAACGTCCCCGTTGTTGAGCCCATCACCCAGGCCACGGTCAGCGGCAACACCGTCACCTTCTCCGCGAACTTCCCCTTCACTGAGAACGACATGTTCGGTCTGACCATCGCCGCCGTTGTCGAGGGATCCGGTCCCTTTGCCACCGTCACTGATGTTGCCGCCGCCACCAAGTTTGGCCCTGGCTTGATCGAAGTCAACTAAGTGCACGCATATATCCTCGACTGGGAAACCCCCATTGTGTGATGGAATTTATGAAAACAGAATAAACTGGTATGACGCATGTGGAGAGAGAGAAAAAGAAACTTGTAATCCGGGTCTTTGGTTTTTGATTTTCTGGTGGTTCATTCACCCTTGGGTGTTTTTGTCTGGTTTTGCAAAGGGGTTTGACATTTTTGATTTATTTGTGGTGATCCCTCAGTTTTTGGGAGGGAAAGGTGGGGGAGAAGAAGACAAATAGTTCCAATCTGACGCTGTTCTCCTCAATTCGCTTGATCTTATCATGTCTTGCGCTCTTGGTTTTTGTGTAGAAAGTGACTCGTCCAACACTTTGACTGCAGCGCCTAAGACTCTCCGAAGCAAAGGGCCCCGGTTCTCCGTGGCAGCTCTCCCTGGTTGAACACCAAGGCGGGGATCCTCATAAAAAGTCAAGGGTATATCGTGGCAATCTTCCCCACTCTGTCCTACTCCTCCGCTACCCACGACCTCCATCTCCATCTCCACCTCGACACGCACCTCCTCTTCACCCAGGCCCAACGCCTCATTGCATACAGATGCGGGGGCTTGGAACCAGATCCCTCAGAGCGAGAAAAAGCGGGGTCACTCATCGAGTTTCAAGGTAATGTATGTTATGGAGGGCCGCCATTATTGACGACCGGGTTCTGTTCTCGAGGCGAACGTGAACCTGGGGTTTTCTGAACAACGCTAGCTAGGGATATTGTCCTTGTACTCTACTCGCAAGGAACGGGATTTCGCTTTGTCCATCTATTCTATCCAGTCATCCATTTAACCTTCTTACGGGTCTTTCTTTTGAACGTCTCAACGAATCTTTTCCGGACTTGTGTACTCTCTTCCCCCTTTGCTCACACACATACGGGAGGAAAACCCTTGGAAGAGAAGACATGTCGAACCAGACGGTATATTTCGTGACTGGAACCACACAGGGAATCGGCTACGAATTCGTGCGCCAGCTGCGAGAGCGCCCCGGGGCGATCGTGTTCGCGACGTCGCGGGACCCGGAGCGGGCGACGAAGCTGCAGGCGCTGACGGACCGGGGGAACGTACACGTGGTCAAGATCACCAAGCAGCCCGAGGCGGTGCAGGAGGCGGTGGAGGCGGCGGCCCTGGTGAAGAAGGTCGCGGGGAGGGTGGACGTGGTGGTGGCCAACGCGGGCATCATCGGGCACGAGACCAGCATCGCCGACGCGCCCGTGTCCCAGTACCAGGACTTTCTGGACGTGAACCTGCTCAACAACATCGCCTTGTTCAAGGCGCTGCGGCCTCTCCTCCTCGAGTCGGCGCGCCAGGGCAACACGCCCAAGTTCGTCGCCATCAGCACGCAGTACGGGTCGCTGGCCATGGTGGAGGACCTGCCGGGCCAGTCGTCGGCGTACGCCGTGTCCAAGGCCGCCCTGAACATGTTCATCCGGCACATAGCCTACGAGGAGAAGAAGAACGGCATCGTCGCGTTCCCCATGCACCCGGGCGTCGTGGCCACCGAGACCGTCGCCCCGCTCGCCGAGCGCATCGGCCTCGCCACCATCGAGCCCGCCGAGAGCATTCGCGGCATGATGAAGATCATCGACCGCGCCACCGTCGCCGACGAGGTGCGTCTGTGGAGGTACGACGATACCCATCTCCCATGGTGATTGCAGACGCGCCGCGACGAGCAGCAAGTACGGGAGAGAGAGAGGGAGAAAAGACACCCAAGGATAACAGAAGACTGTGTACTGAGTACTGGGCGACTGACTCTCTCCTTTTCGTCGATGGGTATTAAAAGTCATGTCAGATATCGACATCTCACACCCTATCTGGAATCCATTGTGTTCTTCTTACAAGTTTCTTGCCCGAGCAAAAGCTCCCTGTTTTCTGCACATAAAACGTCTAGCAAAAGCATTTACTTCAGTCCTCTACATACCACCGTAATGTGGGCCGTTGCCTGTGGTACTGCCCTCTTAGTTTCTCTGCGTTAGGGGTATAAAGGCAGTAAATATTCAGGATGTTCGCTACTCGTGTCTAAGATACAACATTCCCACTGCAAAGCAGAGCCCGCAACCATAAAGCGCGTTTTTCTTCTGTTAAAACCAAGACCAGATCCAAGAAACGCCCTGCACTAGCATCCTTCTCATCATCGCTCAGATCGCGTCCCATTCCTCTCCTCCGGTCGTGGTTCACAATCAGACTGCACCACCGATCCTACCGTCGACGGCGACCACTCCGAATTCTCTCGAATCCCGTGCTTCAGCCTCAGATGCCTCTTAACCGCGTCTGGCCGGACGTGACTATACTTGCACAAGTGACACTTGGCCTTGTCCTCATCCGTCGCCAGGCCATGCACCGCTTGAACGTGCTGAATGCACCGTCGCTTCTCAGCGAAAGGGCGGCTGCAGTGCGGGCATTTGAACGGTTTTGTATGCTTGTATTCATGCCGCCTGAGCTCACATGGGCGTGCAAATGACTCCGTGCAGTCTCCAAAGTGGCAGCGATATTTATATGTTGGTGAAGGCACAATGCTCACCGGCGATGATTGGAGGTCGAGCGCCGGAAATAGATCGGCATCAGTGAAAGGTGGTTGAATGAAGCTTTCATCGGACGAGAACAGGGAAAAGTCGTTGTAACTGTCGTACTCAAAGTTATCCAGATAGCTTAGGTTGTTCAAAATGTCGTAATCCAACTTCATTCCCTCCATGTCGGAAGAAGGGTCGGGTGATGTATCGAAGGACAGAGAAGGGGTGGATTGTGTGGTATATGTGGTTGGGCTTTGGGCAACAGAGGCCTGTTGCAGATGGTGTGCTTGTTGGGCTTGGTATTGTTGTAGTGGTAATGTGCTCTCCAAGGGCTGACACGTCGCTCCTTGGAGGGAAAAGATGTAAGATGGGTCCCAGAATTCGGTGTGGGTGTGACCTTGATGCTGATCAGGGTTCATGCAGGAGGGATCAAAGGGCGCCATGATTTCACGTAGCGGCTGCGTGCTCGATGGCGGACTATGTAGTACAATCGGCGAAACCTGTTGCTCGGGCTGTGTTTGTCTCTCCTTTCTCGAGGCGGGACAGCGTCTCGGGTAGGAACAGAGCAATCCACAGTCGCAAGCCAGGCTCCATCTGACTGCACATTCCTCGATATCAATGGAAGATTATCCCACTGATGGTAGCAACCTCTCGGGATGGTCGCCATCGAAGAGTTCGGCTCGAGTGCTCTCGGTGCGTGCATGAGCATCAGAGGGGTTGGGTGCCCAGTCAGCAACAATGGGCAAATGCCCAATGCTGGCGATTCTAGGTCCCTGTTGTGGTCATCAGACACCAATTCCACCTGCACACAAGGCACAGTTACTAACCGTCGTCTTGCATTGCCAGAGCCACGCGGCTGGCGTTGTTGAAGGGACTGGCAAAGTTTGTGGGTCATCTGCTGGTTAGTCGAAGCCAAGCTTGGTGGGAGCGAAACTCTTTGCAGTGGTCTGTTGTCGGAATCTCGAGGTCGTATGTGTGTACCTAAGAAAATGGTTAGTGTGGCTATACGGGCTTGCCTTGAGCTATGGTCATACGTTGATCCGGACTTGACAAGAACTTCAGATCGTTGCTGCAATATGTTTCCTCCAGGAGCGCCCTGGCCTCTGTTGACTTCTCAACAGTCATTTCTAGCCGCTTCTTGACGTCGTGTACCTTGGCCCTACGACCGAGGTCTTCCATTGGCATCGAGAGGTTACCGTCCGAGGAAGGTGGCATTGAGGAAAGATTAGTGAGAGCCGAAGGCTGGAATTGTGAAGGCGTGAGGCTGAAGCCCCTAGGTTCTGTGCAGAAGAATGCGCGGTGTACGAAAATCACTGGAAATCAAGCAAAGAGACAAATAATTGTGAGGGAAGGAAAGAGGAGAGGGAGAAGTCCAGGCAACGAGGCTGGAGGAAACGAGCGGCTTTTGACTCGTGAAGGTGCGCGGGGAACGAAATGTGGCCTACAACGGGAGGATTGGAGCTAATGTCGCTAGTGGTGGCGGTGCTTGGTTTATTGATATATTATTGGTCATATTGTGTCGGCCACACGGCGCTAAAGATCCAGCTAAACCCTAAACGCTCGTTGCATCAGATGAGGCTGAATCGGTGGAGAGAGGATCGAGTACCACCGACTGCTGCGCCTTGACTCACCTTTCACCCAGTCACCTAGTTTACCCCCTTCGTCAATCGCACATCTCACAAATTCGGTTCGATCTTATGAGCGCATCTAACCTCCTCATCACCAACCGTCATGAGATAGACGATCATTCTAGGCGTTTACGGCATGGTCTCCCAGTCTGATTCTGGCTGGGTGTGGAACCCTTCAAGCCTTATGCCATTTGCGTCGACGATTCGAAAGCTGGACTCTCCTCAAAGCGCGAGATCAATGGTGCGGGCCAAAACATCTAGAACTGTTCTCTTACCCAAACAGATAGGTAGCAGCTCCAGCGGCCTCTTTACTCGCATGGGAGGTCGGCTATCAAAATAGTCCGTTGTTACCCTTGGAGCTCGTTTGCACAGCTTGGCTTTTTCATGTTTCGACACTTGCCATCTGGATTGTTCCATGTGACACTTTATGCTAGACCCTAGCCCTTGTCAACGCTGCTGGTTTGTCGTCAACAGTGCTGGGCTCATCCCGCAGTTTCGAACAACATGTCACAAGTGCCACTACAGTTCTCAAGCATGACACTCATATCTGCTACGCACTCTACTCGGGATTCAAGTCGGTTGTCGTTTGGCATCACCACGGGGTGTGATCAGGCAAGTATCACTCCAAGAATGCCTCACTTACTGGAGAGACAGAAAACGCCAGCTTCAAACGTAGAGCAGAGCGCTGCAAACGAGCTTCTTTTCTCCAAGAGGGTACAAAATGTTCGCTGCAATCGTGTCTCTCTCTCTCCCTGACCTTTCAACTCCCAGATACCTAATCTTATCTTCAACCTGCATATACATAAAACACTCATTCTAGCAAGCCGATACCTCCGAAAAGAATCGATTGGCACATCTCACAGACTTGCGAAGACCCAGACGAGCGAGCGGGCGGGACATTTCTCCCCGCAAAGAGTCGTTTTATCTCTTGGGAAGAGTGTTTCGTCCCTCTCCGTGCATCTTTCCGACTCTCCTCCACGATAGCGACTTCGATTTCGACTTCGACTTCTGCCGTCTTGCTCGGTTTTCATGCTGTCCCCAAGCCCTCCGCCTCAATTCTTTTGAGTGAGTGAGTGAATACAAGGGAACAAAGCGGAAGAAAATGTCCACCGATCCCCAACGGCCAAAAAGGCGGAGACTTCCACCACCAGCAGCCAAGCCTCCGAAGATATCCAACGTGCGCTGCCAGACGGAAGGGTGCACGGGCAGGGGTCCGCGCGGGACGAAATGTCCCATCTGTATGTGGATCATCCGGTGATTCTTGTTCTCCTCCTCGACGGACTTGGGACCTGGACACAGACATGGAACGGTCATGGATGGGAGTGGGAGGAAGGGGAGAAGGAGGAAAATCTTTGGCTTTGAGCCTCCAGAACTGACGATAATGGGCGACGACAGAGGCGACAGGCGACGACGATGAGTCGGTGTTCGTCCGTTTGTTCGTACGTACCTACATCCATCCGTTCAATCCTTTCTCCTCTGGCGTCTCGAAGCTTTATTCTCAGCTACGCGTCGAGCCGGGACCGTCTGTCAAGACCCCAACCCCGTCTCGGTCACGAGTATATATCGATGTGGCTGGCTTGGCTGGCATTCTTCACGAGTGAGTTTCCAGGGTGAACAGGTGAGCTGGAAGAGTAAATCACCCGGGAGGAAAAAGGGATATTGTTTATAGAAGAGCTCACTCCTCCCAAGATGGAGAAGACGTACATCTGGACTGTTTCTACTCTAACAGGCACTGACATAGGTATCTTACCTAGGTAGACATCTATCTGATTCTATCCTCTACGATAGCACGACGCAAATCTGTAGGGCCGTGGGCTCACATAAATTCGATCTCTTGATCATCCCCGTGGTTGTCGTCTGGGTCTACCGCACGCTCTTTGCCTTTCCCTTTATCCTTGGATTCAGCCTCGCCCCCATTGACCGGTAGGCCCAAGGTCGCGATCTCGTCGTAATCATCACCAACTTCCTCAATCCTACCACTCCTATTATTCGGACTCCTGTCCGTTGCCACCCCCCTCTTCGCCATCTGGCCTTGAGCACCATCTCTTCTCACGACCCTCGCCCGCCCATCACTTCCCAAGCGCACCTCGAGGCCCAACTTCTCGGTCGTCTCCCTCACCAACTCGGCATCTTTTTCACCTGGTGCCGGGACAATTTCCCTCGCTTCGAGAGAAGAAACAAGCGCCTGGTTTTCTGGGTTGTGCTCCAAAAGGAACTTTAGACACATCACGGCGTGCTCTTTGATATACGGATTGCATGCTAGAAGCCCGAAAACTGTCAGTGAAATGAAATGGAGCAAGTATTTGGGCGAATTTGGTAAGCCAAGACGACAATGAACAAACTCGTCTCTCAGAAAAGACGTTTGTTTGTAGAACAAAGAGCGAAAGGACTGATCACCTACCATCATAGGATGTACAACTCAGGATCGTCTCAACTCCACCATACTCCCGAATTTGATTCTGTACTGTCGGTGACTTCCAGACCAAACTCGACAACACCAGCACGATCAGTTTCTTGAGGTTACGCCATTCAAAATCGGCTGGCTCTTCAGTCACAGTTGTTGCCGCGGGAGGAGCTTGTGCAGGGGGTGACGGGGACGGTAAGTCATTTGGTGGTTGGGGAAGCGAGTCGGTGACCGTTGAGGTGCCATTCTCTTGTGCGGGTCCTTCGGCTGGCGTGGCAGTATCATAGGGTCTCTCCACGGCAACGTGAGCAGGAAGCGTTGATGCTTGCTCTGGATGTTCGACGCCAGTCGTGCTTTGTGCCCGACTTCCATTGGTCGGCATCTTCAGGTTGCCATTCGCACCCGTTGCGGGAGGAGGCATAGCCTGCGTCAACCCGACCTTCGCGATACTTTGATCCAACTCTTTGATCAACGTTACCAAATCATACACGATCTCCCACTGAACGAGCAACTTTTTCCAGTCATTGTTTTCTGTGAGCACTGCAAAGAACTCTAGAAACTGGTACACGCCTTCGTACACACGCTCCATATCCCACAAGTTCAATGGGAAATCCTCTGCTAGCGCGAGACCAGCGCGAATTTGACCTTGCAGGTAGATTAGGGCGCAAGTTTCGGGAATGATGTTGCCTCGGAAGACGATGAAAATATAACGAACGGTGAGGACATCTACACGGCTGAGTGGAGAGGGAGCCAGTCGAGGTTTCTGGTGCTGTGCTGTTGGTGCCTGCTCGCCTGTCGCATTTTGTTGGTGTTGCGCCGCCGAAGGAGGGCTGTATTTTGCGCGGAATATGTGTGTCAGAATCTTGATCACAACAGCTTGCGCTGGGGAGATGATGTCCTTGGGCTGGCCAAAGTCCGCGTACGCATGGGACATGAGTCCATTTTTCAGAATGGCTTCCATGATCTGCACCATCATTTTGAAGTAGAACTCGTCATCTGGCAAATCCCACGCAGCGATGAATATCAACAACTCCCGCAGAACGTTACGGCCTGCTTCTTGAGCGAGTAATATATGACAGCGGACTGCTTGCATGTTTTTTAGACCCTGCTGATGTGCAGTGGTACTGTTCTTCGAGCCAAAATTGTCCACAATGCCTGCTTGAATGATCATGGGCAATGCTTCGATTTCAGTCGGCCCAAGGACGAGGGGAACATCGGTGAGCAGACCGCGTTCTTGATCTCCGGATCCACGGTAATCGTCGTCTTCCATACTATCTCCGACGCTGATGAGATCGTCTTCGTCGTCTTCAAGTTCATAGTCCTCTGGATCCACATCGTCATCATATTCCGCTCCGTCGTACTCGCCCAAGGGACCAGACCGTGGATGTAAACGGGCCATGAGTTCGTCTTTTGCTTCTTTCAACGTCGCAGCTGCAGATTGAGCGGTTCGGGGCATGCTCAGGTCTTCTTCAGTCAAATCTTGGGAGGTCTCATTCAGGTCGCCATACGACCCCGGCTCGGGTAGATCGCTCCAGTGCGCATCCCTCAACTTGGCACTAGGTTTGTAGCCATTGACTTGGGTGAGAGCCATGATCTTCTCGGCAACCTGCTTGACTTGTGTGGAATTGGTCTCGGTGGCAGCAACATCCTCCTTGTTCTGCAACCAAGCCCGTAGTTCCGCGCCCACTTTCAACAGTACATCTGGGCTATCGTCCAGTTGATTCGCGTTCATACCCGATAGAGTTTCCATGTCGGTTCTGATCTTGTCCATGAGAACTTTTGCCGCCTTTTGAGTCTGCTCATCCGGCTCTTTATTGGTGCTCATCAGGTCGAACAGCGCATGGACATCGTCGATGTTGTACCCGGGGTCATCGCCATCCATCGCAAGCCGACCCACTCGTCGTGGCATTTTCTCAACAGTCGACCGGATCCTGTCCTCCTTTGCAGCATGGTCCTTGCCTTCATCATCGACAGTCTGCTGGTCTGGAAGGCTGCTCCGGTCGTCAACCTCATTTGCTTGGGACTGTCCAAACAGATCCAGCCACAGAACCAACTTTCGCTGTTCATTGTGCATAATAAAATTGTGCAAGAACTGCAGGCAAGTGATCAACAGCCGCTTATACAGATTCACCACCTTTTGCCATCTTTCCTCGTTTCGGGGGTTTGCCTCGCCATCGAAACCC